CGTTTCCTTTAAGTTCCGGACATTTACATAAAATATGTAAATTATGAATAAATAATATGTATGAAGTAACTAAAATTTATAAATTAAATTAGAATATAATCTGTTATCAAATTTATAAATTATGAACTAATAATACATATGATGTAACGGCCCCGAAAATTAAAAGGAAATGTATATATTTATTCTCAGTGCGGAAGTGAAATAAAATAGATTATAATTAACATCCTTTACACAATAATCAAAACGTACTAAAGATATGAAAAAATAAACTAACTAAAGAAAATACTATGAATGAATACTATAAGGAAAACTAATAAATCTTTAGGCTTCTACTCGTCGTCTTCCTTCGAAACAGGCTCAGAAACCAAGTCCTCCTGATCTTAAATGGTTAAGTAAGGAATGAGCTACACTAGCCCAATAAAGATGTCACACTATCTCACTGTCACATAAGTAAAGGTTGGTAGAAAACAAAAACGACCAATGAAACATAATTTATAACAAATTCATTTATCAATAATAAAACTTTTTTACTGTCCACTTACCTCGGTGAGATTCATGAAAATAACTTATGAAAATAATAACATTATAAACATATAAGATCATGCACACTCTGTAATATAACACATATCATACTTTTGTATTTCAATCATCAGGTAACAAATTTTCTCTTTTATCAGCCTACTAGTATCCATGGGGATCCATAGGGGTCCCCGCTACACGTGAACCATTCACCTTAATTCCAGGGTCGTCCTCATACTCTGTTTTGTATGAGTGCCAAAACTATAAACCTCAATACTCCGTCCGGTATGAGGGTGAAGCGGGCCGTCCCCATACCCTGTTTGGTATGAGCGCCAAAACATTTAAAGTCTCCATACCCCGTCCGATATGAGAGACCACGTTCCCGGTAGGGTTCCCTATGGACCTGGTCCGTCCACCATCTCTTAGGATATCTAGTGAGGCTGTCGACTTATCCATTTATAAATTCACATACCCTTTTTATTTTTCTTAGTCTCAATTACCCAATCAACATGAATACATAAACCAGTAACGCACACCAAGCAAGGCAACACAACATCGGGTTCACAATAATTCAAACCATAATAGATTAAACAGTGATTCATGCATACGAAATCACAGAATAAACAATCAAATAATATACTGCATTTAAACTGTAAAATACTTCAAACAGGAACCGACCGACAAATACATCAGGTTCGGGACCCATTAGCAGTCTTAATTAATTATACATGTCTATTAATTCATAAAATACTATTTTATCATTTATTAAGCTTTAATCCCGTGATAGGAATTAAGGTGATGAATCCTTACTTGTTTCGGAGTCTGAAATCGGTTTCTTACTGCGCCTATGGGCAGTCCTTAGATTCCCTGAATTTTTTCCCTAAAACTGAAATACACTTCCGGTACCTGCACATGTCCCCAAAAATCCCAAATAAGACCCAGGGCCTATTCGGCCAATTTCAGAATTCCGGCACGGCGGCTCCGCAGTGCTCCGGTGACGGTGTCGCTGCCCACGGCGGCGATCCATCTAGGGTTGGCCGTTTCTGGCCGTTTTCAACTGAATTCAGCTTGCATTGGTTCCTGTGATAAAACACCCCTAGGGCTTTCGGTGGGCCAAAAAAATCCAGAAAACTGAGACTTACCAGCGGCGGAGCTCTTGGGTGCGGCAGCTCCTCTAGCGCGAGTCGCGGTTTGGTGTTTTGCTCCGGTCAACCTGTAGAGGAAATGACGATGGTCATAGTGGTGTAAAAATTACATTGAACGGGAATCGGAAAGGGCCTCATCGGAGGCAAAAATTGAGAAAACTCGCGGCGGTGCCGCTGGACTTCGGCGGTATTTTTCGACCAATTGGCCGGTGGTTTGGCTCCAATTTGGCCACAGGGGGGTTCAGCATCGAAATTCGAGCCAATGAGATAAATTTTACATCGTTTGGCGGCCGAAAAGTGCTCCGGTGCGACGGCGGTCGATTCCTCCGGTGGCTGGGCTGTCTTCTCCGCGCTTTTGATCTGGGCTGTTCGTGCGCGCGGGAACGGATCTAGGCCGTCCGATCGCGTGCACGCGGATTGCCCACGTGGCTCCGTCCCGCGTGGCCTCCCGCGTCAGCGTCCCTGCCATGCGGCGTGTCCTGGTTGGCCGGGGCTGCTGACCGGCTACTGACGTGGCTGCTGACGTCATTATTATTATTTTTATTTCTATTAAATTAAATTAAATTAAATTAAAATCATATAATTATTACCTAATAAATTAATTATTAAAATAAAATAAAAATCAAAATAATTCCAATAATAATAAAAATAAAAATTTGGGTGTTACATATGAAGTAACTAAAATCTATAAATTAAAATAGAATATAACTTGTTTTAAAATAAAAAATGTAATTGAGCATGAAATCGGTTGAAATTAGAATACTATTTTGTTTTAAATTTTCTAATATAATTTGTTATTGTATGAAAATGATATTTGATTTAAACTCAACTTTCAATAGTCTTCTCTTTAAAAAAAAAAATCAAAATCAAAGATAATTCTCGATGTGGAATACATGAAGACTATCTAACAATTTCTTAGGATAAGATTATGACTCAATCATTTCAATAAATCAAGTTTGAATGCAAATCAAATTAAATATTATGGATTAACCCACCAAACAATTTCGTGAAAGATTAAGAAAGTAAAAAAGAACTATTAAATGTGTATTAATATAGTGACTGTACAAAAATAAAAGTCGTCAGTGACTTAGTAGTTAAATTTTTTATATTTTTTTAATAATCACGAATTTAAATTTTATGTGTCAATTAACTTATAATATTTAATTTAACGAGATTAAAAATTTAATTTAATAATATATTAATAAAATTATTATAACGTAGGTAAATAAAATAAATATTATGTAATAATTAAATTTAGTGTGATATAAAAACTTTGGCATAATACTTTTAAAAAAGTGAAAAAAGGATACAATAATTTTGGCCTCTTTGGATTTTGCTAAAAGAACTTTTGTCTTTTTAGCACCTTGATTGCCCACTTGCATCGTTTTTCTCCTTCACCTTCACCTTCACCTTCCACAACCTCATGAGCACTACAAAAACCATAACTATACATATATATATATATATATGTATGTATGTATGTGTGTATGTATGTATGTGTGTATGTATATGTGCATAGCATAGACGTTACATACACCATCCACATATTTTTATAATTTACACTAATTCGCATGTTGCATGCCGGCTACTTTTTTTCTCCCCCTCAATTTCATTATTTATAACCTAATTAAATATTTGCAAATTAATTTATTATTTCTCTTTTGTTTTAATCGGAGAACCAAATAAATTCCGAATACTTTTTTTAAAAAGGTCAAAACTTAAAATCAATATTTTTTTTTTCATATAATTTGTATTTTATGAAAATTAAAAAAATATTTCATATATTAAAAATATCAACTAAAAATTTATATATTTTATTAATTATATGATTAGATATATATCAATTGTAATGTACCCACTTAACGGAAATATAAGATAGCACAATTTATATTGAATTCTTAATTTTTAAAAAATAAAAAAATACAAACTATGGAACAAAAAAATAATTTATAATGTCAATAATGAATAAATAAATAAAATACAATTTATTAAAAAATAATTTTTTTAAAAAAAATATTTATTTTTAAGATATTTAATATAAAACTACATAATTAAAGTGGTGCAAGTTTTTGGGGAAACATTTAAAAAATTAAGAAATCAAATAATTAATTCAAGAAAATAAAAGAACTTCGTGCACAATTTTGACACGCATTCTCATTGTTTATATTTATCCCACCAACCAAACGAACAACCGTCACCCATCATAATATTTATTATTTATTTAAAAATCTAACAAATATATATTTATTTTTTTAACTAATAAAATATAATAAAATACCATGAAATTTAGTATAGTGTAAAAATTAAACAAAACAACACATTTTTTTTTTGTTAATAATTAATTTTTTATTCTTTAAAAATTTTAAATAATAAATAAATGCTGTCTCAATATTATTAATATATAATATTATTTTCTTTTTTTTAATTAAATAATTTTAAATTTACAACTAAAAAAACTATTGATTTTTATTTGAACACGTGGCCATTTTAAAATGCGTAACCTACCACGCCTCGTGATTGCCCTCGCTACTACTCCCCCAATTTCCAACCGAGCACGTGACCGTCTATACAAATTAGTTATGGTGAGCACGTGCACGCGTGTGAGATTACTAATATACCCCTGGAGGTTGAATTTCATTTTGGGGGTAGTTTAGTCATTTCATATTGTGGAGTGGACCCCACACTCTCTTCCCTAAAATGCTTCGCCGATTTAAAGAAAAAAAATTAGAGAAGTCGGGTACGTGGGTGCAGATGTAAGGGAGTGTACATAAAAAGAGGGAGCGTCGCTGATGGGTGTGTAGCTTAACCTTGTAGTGGGCGTGGGTTTATGTGAAGACGGTGATGCTTGGTATACTGTGCGCGCGCCCCAAGCCTTGGATCCTCAACTCTCTTTCTCTCATTACTCACGGCTCCGCCGCGCACCACCACCTTCACAGCTATCATCAGAGCCGCTTCCTGCAAACTCCGATACATTTCGGTGAATTAGCCGACAAAAATCGCCGGCGCCATCACTCAACAGCTTGTAATCTAGCTGGTTCCGTCGGCGGTGTCGCGTCCATATGGCATGCGATCCTCCCTTCCGCAGGTGGAAGCGGCGGAAGTGGACTCCAGTGCTGTCGACGTCTTAGGCGGATTCATGAGAGGAAGGGGGAGGGCTCGTGGAATGTCTTGTGGGACGCGCGGCCCGCTCGCTGGCTCCATCCGCCGGACTCGGCGTGGCTGTTGTTCGGAGTCTGTGCATGCCTCGCGCCAATTAATTGGACCGAGGAGAAAAACGATGAAGTAGCCGTTGAGGAGAAAATCGAGAGTTCTGATTTGAGCTGTGCTGCCTCCGATGATAAAATCCCCGAGAGCTGTCCCGATTATAAGGTCACAGGTTAGTTGAACTGTTTTAACTAATTTCACATTTAATTTCTTCCAGGGTTGTTATCTTGCTTCAGTCTCTTAATATTATTTACAGGTACAATGATTAAGAACAGGTTAGGTTATTTATTTGTTTGTTTAAACATTAATGGCAACAATTTGCTTTGCTTTATATAATTTGGATTATCATTTTTGTGTAAAATGTTTTCAGTTGGAATTTTTTACTTTTTTCATTTCATTATTGATATCTTGTACGAGAATTATGAGAAAATGGTCGTAGATTCAGATATATGTTTAATTATTTATTTATGAAATGTTTAAATATATATATTCATCAAACTTCTATGGGTTCAGTTGTTCTACAATCTTCCGTAAGCTACAACATGAAATTAATTCAAAGGAAAATAAGTTTTAAGTATTGAAACAAATTGATTGATGTGATGATGTTGAGTTATGGCACCGCAGGAGTTTTGGCGGATGGTCGGTGCTTGTTTAGAGCAATTGCTCATGGAGCCTGTTTGAGAAATGGAGAGGAAGCCCCTGATGAGAATCACCAAAGACAACTTGCTGATGAATTAAGAACTAAGGTGAAGATTAATACCTTCTGCAGCGTTGACTCTTTGATTTTTCACAGTTAATGGTTGATTCAAATTTGAATTCCTTTTTTGTATTTTCGGTACTTACAAAGTTAAATTTGGCAGGTTGTTGATGAGCTTTTAAAGAGACGTGAGGAAACAGAATGGTAAACTTTGAGATCCTAAAATGTTTCACTGTACTTGGACATGTGTTGTGAAAGTATTTTATAAAATGATCTGTTAGATTTGGAAACTTCACATTAATGATATTTTTGTATTACGGTATCTTCGTACTCTTTAAGGTTTATCGAGGGGGATTTCGATGCATATGTTAAAGAAATTCAACAGCCTTACGTGTGGGGGGGAGAACCTGAGTTACTGATGGCTTCCCATGTTCTGAAGTAAGTTTTTGTCTAATTCATCATCTTTGCTGCTAAATCCTCCTTTAAGTTCAAATTAATCTTTGAACATTCTTTTAAGGAAAATATTTTGGCTCATGAATGAATAAAATTCAATGTATTTAATGGCTTCCTGACCTTCTTGCATATGGATATAAGTTCTCTCTTCCTAGCTTTTTCCTTTCAATTTGGAAAATTTTGCCACCATTATGCTGCAGTTTTTGTTGGAAGTGGAGTGGTGAAAAAGGAAAAAGAATTCCCTTGGAATTGTTTCATTTCATTGTTGAATTAAGTTATTAATGTAAATATTGTTTATGTTATTGTGAAGAGAATGTGTTTGAATCCATTTTTTCTTAGTACCCTGCTCTTACCTCGGAGCTCAATATCACTGCTTCATTTAATTGATTATCTCAAACCAAACGGAGGTTCGACTAAAGGATGTCAAACCAAACAGGCTATCTTTTTCTTCATGCAGCATTCCTTTGCTCATTTCATATTATCTGTTGGACTTGCCTTCATTTTGAACTTGCTGTGGCCTGTCCTTCTATGCATTTTCATGTCAACTTAACCCTTGTATTTGACATGCGTCCTTTATGCACCCAGGACACTGATATCAGTCTTCATGAAGGACAGAAGCTCAGGTAAGCTGGTAAGCATAGCAAACTATGGCCAAGATTATCAGAAGGATAACGAGAGTCCCATTAATGTGTTGTTTCATGGATATGGTCACTATGATTTGCTGGAGACTTTTTCTTAATGTAGCTAGCAGAAAATAAACACACAGAAGTTTTGGGAATGGCTTATTCCTTTTTGTTTCATATTAAACATAATAATCTCATGAGGAGCTCTTTTTTTTTTCTGGTGGGTGTACTCCATCCAGATAAGAATCTGTCTCAGAGAATCATAGATTTGCTGTGGCACCTCATTTCAATTTACAGGCTTGTTGAGTTTTGTAGATTCCCTGTTTGTTTTTACAAATTTAAAATGCAAGCAAAATGTCCAACTGCCCATTTCTTTTGGTTGCTCTGATTGATGTTTCTTATAGAATCACTGATGTTTTCTGTTTCCATTCATCCTGTAGTGGGAAACTAGTAAATTTTGTTCACATCAGGCTTGGGCTTGAGGAAACTGTAGTTTGCTATCAAACTCTATCTCCCATTCTAAGTATATTGAGTTTGTTGCCTTCAGCTTGAAAGCAGCAGATGTGAAATTTAAGAATTCACAGATGTCGAGGAATTTGATCTGTGGGGATCTTTTGAAGTTACTTCTGATTTTCTTCATTCTGGATGGATTTGTCGCCGACTGTTTTATGCATTCCGATATAGGTTAGGTTGATGACTATTTAGATTTAGATTTAGTTACTCTAGAAGAATTTATTCTGTGAAAGCCTGCACTATTCAAGATTTCTAACAAAAGTACAGATATGCAAGCGGGTATCACAAAGTACATGCAAGATTACACTTCATTAGTCTGCTATCATTAGTATAATTCCTGCAGAAACTAGATGTATTTTCATATTTAATTATGTTTTTGCTCCGCTGACTTCAGTTTTCTCAGAATTTTTACCCAATCTAATGATCTTCTTTCTCAAGTAATTTACTTTACCCGGTCCCTTCACCTCAAAATGTGGATCACCTCTTGTTTCGTCAGTGCTATACATGTTTAGAGAGATACCAATACATATATATATATGTTCTTTGGAACTTCTTTTGGAGAAAGTTGATTTGGGCGGCAATGGTGAGATCCTTTGCAGGGTCCTTAAACAGTACATCCTTTTACAGAAGGTATGATCAAATTAAAATGAAGAGAAGGGAAGACATGGAAGATTAGTGGCCCCTTGCTGGGGTCAATAGAAAATCAAAATGTTGGCAGGAAGATTTCACATACTTGTCTCCAATAGAAAGTCTTCCAATATGTAGGAGTGGCGCCCCATTACCCCATTCCCTAATAAAGGCAGGCTTTACATACTTCTCAATCATGGTCGCTGCTTGGTTCGTATGCTGATAACCTATATAGCCTATTTGATTACACAACTAGGAATAATAAACACCTCTTTTTTAAGTTTGTTTGAATTTTATGTATAGGCTATAATATATACATATGCCCTAGATAACCTATTTGATTATACAAGGAGGTATAAAAACCTTTTTTTTTTTTTGGTGTTTATTTAGAATTTTATAAAGGGTGCTCGTATGTTAACTGAAAATGGTTGCTGTTACATCTGATTTTCTGGTGGTTTGGTACCCTAGCAGAGTGTTTAGGGACCATAGTCCATAATTGAATAGGACAATCTCTTGTTAGGTGGCTGAGTTGGATAATATTCCAAGTGTATACTCTTTGCTCTTATTCTTTTATTGAAGGAATTGGCAAAGCCCTTCTGGGCAACTTAGTGGAGGTCCTGCACTGAATTCTCTGTACACTCTTCAAAATTTTGGTTGGATTGAGCATTGGGGAAAATTATAGTTTACCATATTGTTTTGAAAAATTAAGTACCTACATAATTTCTTAACTACAAGAGTAGATAAGTTTTTTTAGAATAATAAAAAAAAAATTTGACTGTATAAAATTTCACGTAATGCTAGAACTGTACATGCAAATTTTTTTTTTAAGTTTACTGTACATTTTTATATTTCCTCAAAAATTAAAAAAAAGTTTTAATATATTTTTTAATTCTATGTAAGTTACAAATTTATTCTAAACAAATCCTTTTTTTTTCTTTTTTTTGGTATAGAGACACTCAAAACGAAGATTGGAATAAATCCATTTTAAAAATTTTATAGTTTACAAGGTGATCGTTTTTTAATTATTTTTGGGTGTCATTAGAAAAGATAATATAATCTTTATATTATTTAAAATAATTTTATAGACGAACAAATGTGATAGAATCTGTGTTTTATTCAAAATAAAAGGAAGAAAAAAAATAAAAAAAAAGAGTAGTAATTTATCTTTTTTTTTGGGTGGAGACACTCAGAATGAAGATTTGAAGAAATCCATTTTAAAAATCTTATAGTTTACAACGTGATAGTTTTTTAATTATTTTTATTTTAATAAGTTGGTATAATTTTCAAAATAAAAAAATTAATACTATTCTATTAAAATTAATAAAGGGAGGAACGACAACAAGAAGCTGGTTTGCCCGAGAGGTTAAGGGGGAAGACTTAAGATCTTCTGCACATAAGTGCGCATGGGTTCGAACCCCATAGCCAGCATCTTCATGTTTTTCTTTTTGTTTCCTACTCCTATTACGGGCTTTTATATTTTCACCCCAAATAATTTCCCCTCTCTTAATGCATATACATACAATTATCATAAATTAAATTTTTTTATCGTCAAATTTATTAAAATTAATTTTTTATAATAACTATATATTTACTAAAATGTACTACTATAGAAATTTACAATATAATATACCCTTAAAAAGTACCATATAATGCACCAAATTTGCGAGAATGATCACCCTTATTATTTCATCTTCTTTAAATTAGTCTGTAAATTTTATTTAAAAGATATGAATTGCTTAAGAAATTATTTTGAATAACAAATATTTGAGATATGAGAGAGAGAGAATATCCCCAAATCACTATGTAAATAGCAAGCCTATCTTCATATATGTATATATATATATATGTATGTATGTTTACATCACCTATTTAAACTTTAAAGCACCTTGAATTTGTGCATCTCATAATTCCAAAAAATTTGATTTTAACAATTTGATCAAGTGAAAAAAAAAAAAACATGTATAGAAAATGAATAATAAATTATCTTGACTTTGTTGATGATCATGAAAAACTAACTAAGAGTTGGGGAGGAAGGTGCCAACATAACCAACTCCTGCAACAAAGAATGCTAAGGATTGGAGGAAGAGATATATGAAGTACTGATTTCTCCCAAAAGCAACATCGTAGCATCCACAGAAGAAGAGGTAAGCTCCTACTCCAAGCTCCAATCCATGGATTCTGTTCACCAAACACACCCACATGTTACCTTTATATGTTCATGCTTACATATACATATGTATATACATGCTTATATCATAGAGACAGAATCCCCATGACGAAATTCCCAAATTAAAAGGATTTCCCTTTTGTTTTTGTCAAAAGCTATAAAAAAAATATAAACTCCACATTTTGTGTTAGATTTAGATTTTTCGTCTATATTTTATATTACGTTGTAACTTGATTTCTCAGTACAAGAATGAATAATCTTAAAAAATATATAATATATTTATCTGATAAAATTTGATGTATAAAACTAAATCAAGTTACGGGTTCTAAAATGCGAGTAGAATTTTTAGAATTCAAGACTACCTTTCTCCTATCTTGATCCGGAATTTCTTAGGAACTTTGGTGCCTGATTTGACTTTAAGACCATCTCCTAGTTTCTCAGTGACAACCCATTCGTTCACTCTCCCTGCTTCGAGCAAACCTATGAATGTAGCCTTGGTACGATGCAAGGACATGACATTTTCAAATAAGATCCAGAACACCAGCAAGTGAAGTGACCTGCATATTGTAGATTTTTTTAACAAATAACTAACGAAAGGAATCAATGGAGATTGAAATTAGGTGATGGAGAGAAAGATAGGAGAGACCTCGGAGTCCCAACCGCGTTGAGGAGGGTTATGGTGGAAGGAATATAGACAGCTCCCCATTTGGGAACTTCAACTTCCGGAACCAAAACAGTTGCAGGCAAAACTACGCAATAGAATATGAATGTCACAATGTGTGCCACGATTTTCCGGACGAAGAAAAAGCTGTATATCACATATAACTTCTTCCACAAGGAAACTTTCTGCAAAAAAATCAGTAGGATTATCATATTCTAATTCAAAATCATATAATATTATGACCCAAAAAGTTTATAAATCATCATATGTACACATATTTAATTGATGTATGAAAGAAAGTACCTTGTTTCTTACTATTTCCATAGCCATTTTCTTGAAGAGGTTAGCTGGGCCACAAGACCATCTGTGCTGCTGATATCGGTAGGCCTTGAATGTGCTAGGCAATTCATTCTTCACCTAAAATTGTATGTGGAAAGTTAAAATTTCAGTTATGTACTCTTTCATTTGTGTGAACTATATATTTGTATATATATAGATATATATATATGGATCAATTGATATTTTCTGGTGAAGAATTTACATCCTGGCAAGTAAACTATACTGATAATAGTATGAACGTTGGCATTTATACAACTGAATTGAATTGTATGTATGTATGTATGTATGTATGTGGGTATATATATATTTGGATATATACCTTGAGATCAGCTACATATACAAACTTCCATCCTTTGAGACTAGCTCTTACAGCCAAATCCATGTCCTCCACTGTTGTTCTATCCTTCCATCCTCCAGCCTCATTCAGTGCTGAAATTCTCCAAACACCAGCTGTACCTGCATTTTCATGATCCAATTTTTCCTGTTACACCATGAAATTTTTTAACCTAACATCTGCTGTAAAAACTTTGAAAAGGTTAAAAAAAAAAAATTACCATTGAAGCCAAAGAAAGCATGTGTTGAAGATCCCACTTCTTGCTCCACTGTAAAATGGTAATCCAGTGACATCTCTTGCATCCTTGTCATCAAACATTCATCAGCATTTACTGCAATATTAGACCAATCACAGGAATCATTATGCCAGATGATGAACAAGTAAAAATTAGGGATGACAAAGAAAAATCGTGACCCCTTACGACCTAAATTGACCTTCTAGGTCCGAATTTACTCTTATTTTTTATCTCGAAAAAATCCAGTAGGCTGTAGTTAAATTTTAAATTAAATCATGATCGAGTCAAATTTGAGTTTAATAGGAAAAATTCGTTCTCGTCAGAATCCAACCCGATTGAATATTAATATATAATTTCATTTCATTTTCGGTTTAACGTACATATATGTGATGTATTGATATATACAATCCAAATTGGATAGGTTTAAAAATGTTATCATTATACCCCCAAAAAAAATATGAAAAGAAAAAAAGCAAAGAGAAAAGGACATAATGGTATATATTGATAGATCTAAAGTTGAAAATTGTAAGAACTAAGTCATCTCAGAAACAAGAAATGAAAAGCCAACCTACTGAAATAAATGCTTAAAGCATGTATAAACTAGAAATATGACATTTGTAAATACTAAGAATAAAATATAGTTATATATGTATATATAAACTCTGAAATTATGAAGAACAAAAAAAATTATTAAAAGAAAGTAAAAAAAATTGGGTTTAATTAAAATTAATTACCAAATTTCCAGCGAGCTTGAACCAGTGCAATTTCAGGATTATGAACCAGGAATGGAATACTGCGCCAAAGGAAATCGGGTTCAGGCTGGAAATCAGCATCAAAAATGGCTACAAAATCACACAACTTCACATAACTGTGCTTCATCCCTTCTCTCAGAGCCCCTGCTTTGTATCCATTTCTGTTGTCTCTAATCTCATAGTTTATATTTATTCCTTTGCTTGCCCATCTCTGGCACTCTAATTCTACCAGTGCCTGTTTAATCCAATGCCCAAAAAAACCCAACAAAAATATTAAATTCTTTTCATTTTTTGTCTTTGGAGATTACAGAGAATTTAAATTTTCTTTAATGGGAAAAGATTGAAAAGTAATTTTTCTTGATTTCTTGAGAAACCCAGATCAGAAAAAGCTAATTTATAAGATTACCCAGATGCTAAAATTTTGAGTAGAAGAAAGAAAGAGTTATGGTGGCAAAACCTTAATGGCAGGGTCCGTTGAATCATCAAGCACTTGAATTATGATTCTATCAGATGGCCATGAAAGCCCACATGCAGCTCCAATTGATAACTGATAAACCTGCATGTTCATTATACAATGTAACACTACATATCAATATATATAAATTTGTATATATGTAACTAAGTTAAGTAGGAAGTTTAGAGTAAAGAAATGGAAAGGGAAGTGAGAAAAGTATTACCTCTTTTTCATTGTACATTGGGATTTGGACTAAAACCATAGGGTAAGTAGAATTACCAAGCTCAATATCATCCTTCATTTTCTCCCATTTATACATCTTCTGTGGTTTTCTACCAACCAACTTTACAAACACTACAACAATCCCCATGTACACTCTTTCAATAAAAAGCATTACGGACATAGCCAAACATGTATACACCAAGAGTTTCAACACCGGCACGATCAATGGCGCCTTCGCCTGCTCCCAAACCAACCCAATTTGGCCCGAAAAGCCATAGCCAGCGCCACGAAAAGTGTCGGGAAAGATGAGGGCAGAGGGAATATTATCCATTGTGGTTGTGTGTGTTTTTTTGTTGTGGGTGAGTTAGGATGTGAGTGAGGAAATGTGGGTTAGTGTTTATATGGTGGGAAAAGGGAGAGAAATGGTTTTGGGTTTGAAATTTCTTTTGGTTGATTTTTGCTTGTGAGTTAAGGTTAGGCAATGTGGTAATGTTGTCAGTGAATTTTAAAGAGGAGAAGGGGAAAGAAAAAAAAAAAAGGAGTCTGGCAATATGATCACAAAATATTAGGTGAACCCATTTCGTAAATCATAGGAAAGAAATCAAGAACATATACACATCATGTGTATCTATATATCTATGCGTGTGTACATATATATATATAAATCTTTAAAAAAGGATGAAACTGTGAAAAAAGAGAGACAGAAAATGAGACCCAAAATGTATTTGGAGTCACTTGATTTTCTAGCTAGCTGAAAGCTGATATAGATGGTTGTAGGAAGAGAAAAGGGTGAGTAATGGGTTAAAGCTGGCCTCTGTATTTATAAAAGAAAAAATTAGTGTAAGTAATATAACAATGGAAAAATAGAAGGAGAATATACATATATATATATGTATGTATGTATGAATATATATATATATATATATATTGTGTTTATATATAACAATGGTCAAATGGAAAAGGACAGGGGATCTTAAACAAGCAATCAAGTTTCAAATTCCTGCGGCTTTTCCTTCACTGTTCTTGGAAATATTTGGATTAAGACTCACAAAATCAGAGCTTCTTTATGTATTAACTTTAAATTTTGCACCTAATTAATTCTTTTTTTTTCTGTTCATTATTTTAAGTAAATGTGACACTAACTTAACTAGGTTAGCTTTTTTTTAACATATATATATATATATTTATATAAAGTTTCTAGTGGGTGGACAAAAATATTTTAGCAATCAATTTTGGGTAATAGGAAAAGAGAATATGGTGGGGAGATAAATAAATGTTCTAGAAATAAATTTGAGTTGTAAAATATATGAAATATAATTATTTTATTAAAAAATTTATAAAATATATATTTCTCAAAATTTTTATTAAAAAAAATTAATTTTCTAATATTATTTGAATAAATTCCTCTAAAATAAATATGTATTTAAATCAATTCAACAAGTGATTTTATTCCAAATTATATTTTCCGGCGAACCCCAAATAATTTCTCGAGTCTGATACGAGAATAAAATATAAACACTAAATTGAATTCATTTGTAAACTCAATCTTTTATATTATAAACTCAATTATATGTAACGTTAAAATGCATAAAAAAGATTAGTTACAATTACTTTTCAATTATAAAAAATGTTATAAACGAAATAGTAAGAACACCAAAAGCATAAAATTTTTGGATATGAATACGAATGCGCTAATTTAATACTTAAAATTTTTCATTTTATTTGAATTCCGTAAATTTGAATCTCGTTAAAAATATATAACTTGTTATTTTATGATTGTATTATTAATAAATAGTTGGACTTATAATATTCGATTTGTAAATCAATGATTTAACTTAGGATGACAAAAATTGCTCTTAATCTCTAGGGATGTATTTAACAGTCAAAAAGGGTTTTATGGAACATTGAAAACAAAGTGAGGGGTCACTTTCTGAAAAGCAAAAGGCTCTTGTTCAATTTTATTTTACACAGCTTCTGATTACTACTTCTCAACTCGAAACCCGCCTACATTTATGTAATATAAGCATCCATACATACAAAGAGAGAGAGAGAGAGATATATAAACACACTTATATACATCTTACCTACATATATATATATATATATATGTCAATTATATTAAATGGGCATGCACTATTAATTCAGTATAATATGAATCAACATCAATTTAGACTTGGTTTTCTGTTAATAAAGATTAATTGCCACCAACAATTAAGAATACTAGGCAGTTTTTGTGTAAGAAAATTCAAAGTATAAACTAATACTTGGTCAATATATTAGCATTTGTCAAAAACCATACACGCACATATATATATATATATATATATATATATGTATACAGGCATCATATTCATATAGATGAAGACATACCAATTCCCAAATCCATTCCCCTTATTTAATTATTATACTTACCCAACATCACATTTTCATTGTCTTCTTCTTTTTTGGTTAGGTAGTCTCCAAATTTGAAACAACTTCACACATATATAATATTGAATTAATACAAAATTTACTTTATATGCAATCCTATACATATAAATATTTATATGGATGATCTAAATCTAATGTTTCAATGAATTATATATATATATATATAATCATTGTGGCATGAGTATACCTGGTTTGGCTACTTGGTGATTATTACTGCATCCACCACACTTCACATTCACATTTGCCCACCGAAAACCTAGAATGAAAAATCATTCTAATGTGATGCAATATCTAACCCCATGTGCAACATTGCTTTCTCCACAATGCCTGACGATTGCTGACGTCACACACACACACACACATAATATATATATATATATATATATATATTTATAGGAATTTTAAATTTTCACCCCCATAAAAATTTTCTAATGTAAAAAAAAAAGTCAGTCAGCTGATCAGGCAACAGGCCTAAACCATGCTTTTCAAGTTGTCATGTTGGCAAACAAAAATGAAGAAAAAATATAACAAATCTGCATGCCCTATAAAAATGATAGTTCATGCAGTTCCAACCCAGAAAGAAAATGTAGATATATAATGAAGCCAAAAGAAATCATGTATTTAATCTATCAAATACTAATAAATACCGTTGTTTCGTCTGTTTCTGCTTCAGTGTCTGTAGATTCTATACGCCCTGCAAAATTCTAATACAGTTGTTGCAGCAGTCGTGAAAAGCTGTCAATAATCGATAGGCTTTTCACCGATCACGTTCACTAAATAATAGGGATGGGAGGACTTGGAAATAACAGAAACTAACAATTAACTATAAAGAGATATGAACTAGGATATGGAATGGACTTCATCTCTTCTACTATCTTCGCCCATACCTCACACTTCTGCTGAGTTCAATGAGGCTCGGATGCAGAGCCTTCCACTGTCGACCAAGATTATGCAAAGGTAGAACACAATAGAAACTTAAGCTAACTTTACCCTAAACCTTCATTTTGCTGAGGAAGAAAAACCTGGAATAGCGGAAAGTGGTTCGTGTTCCGCTTCCAAACTTCAAGATTCGAACACGGGCTGTGTACAACATAACTTCCTTAGGGCTTCAGGTACTGCTTGCCCACATTTTTCGAGGATTTCAACCAATGGACCAGCCTGCAGTGCATCATCTTCCGTTAAAAAGCTATGTAATGCACCCTTCACAGTACAGCGGGCCATCCTCGTGAGAATTTGAACATAATTTTGGATTGCTGGAACAAACTCAGGAAGTATAATGATATCATATTCCTCTAAACTGGTACTACTGATCTGGTCTGTATTAATCATGGACACCACAGGTCTCACTCGGTCATCAGAATCCAGACTGAACGGGGAAAAGAAAAAAGAATGGTCAGTATGAATGGCACAAAACATAACTGAATTGTATATTTCCCTAAAAGGACATGTAATTTACAGGACATATAAATTTTCCGTGATTTTTAGCAGCCATACAAGACAAGCACAATTTTAAGGTATTTTCAGGAAAAACAGAATTCATTCAAAAGGAGGACCAAGCCATCACCACAGTAATTTATTAAAAAAAATACTAATCAAGCAGTCTAGCAAAATTCTGAAGTGAAAGACCCATTATTTACAATTTTATAACTATGCTCATGCTGCAAGATTGATCTACCTATATAGGAGATCTCCTACCAACTGTCATCCCGGAAAATAAATTGACAAAACAAGGAACAAGAAAAGTAAATTGTATAACAGCATCTTAAAGAAACATATACCTGCGCTTGACTTCTGAAGTAAGATCATATTCTTGAGTTGAGAGGCAATAACCTTTCAGCTTGAGGGCAGGCCCTAACTTCTTGAATTTCCCATTTTTCTTAACAATGCATAGCACCTTAAGTAACTGGAGGTTCTCACCATATGCTTTATCCAAAACTTCAACGCACTGCCAAAAAGAAGCATGAGCTCAACAAATTATTCCCAAAAAAACAATTTTATTATTGAAATAAACTACTAAATTAACATTTTCAAGTAGAAACTTAAAAGTCTATCCTATATCTATTGTCAATAGGAGACAAGATGTGAAATTGCTACACGTACTTGAATAGCATGTAGCATTATATCCTTGGAAAATGATCATGTATTATTTTCTGAAAAAAAATCTTAATAATTCCGGAAGGTAACAAAGGGTAAATTATATAGAGAAAATTGCTGATGTAAAACAAAATGAATGAAACTATTAAAATATAAACTGAACACGAAACATCAAAATTAATTTGACGGTTATTTTCTGATTAACTTTTACAGATCTAAAAGTGAAGTAGACTCATATGGTAGAGGAAAACAATAAAAAGGAATATCAGAGTTTTAAAGACTTGTCTGAGCAAAATAGGTACAAGAGAAAATGGCAAGAAAGGACTCCATTCATTCACTGCAAAATGGCAATGGAGATTGGGTCCAATCCCATGGGAAATGGCAATGAGAAAGGGTCTTGTTCAGATGAAAAAGCATGTTTCTGAATCAACATTGCTGTGGTACAACCATTGGCCTTATCCTAAAACTGGCACCTTGGCAGGAAAGCAACCATTATTTACCTTATCCTCTGTTCCTTCTTTCAAACAGTTAACAACATGTCAAAGCACATACCTTAACTAATCTTTCTTCATTCGAGGCACAAACATTTACAGATTGAATGATACATGCACCTTGACTGGCAACAGAATCGTTGAGGGATAACCTACAAATTGATTCGTTCAAAAGAATCTGAACAGCTGAAATACATCTATGGTTAAAGCCGTCACTGAAAACAACAGTTTGAGGTCTTCCAGAAATAGCCTGCTTGATGGATTTTAAAGCATCAAGACAACCATCTCTATAAAGAGATTGAAGTTGATCCACAACCTACAAAAGCACCAAAATAGCAATCAGAAATGAAGGGAATTCTAAAACTCACAAATAAATAAACTTTTGATATCAAGGTCATAAACTAAAAAATGTATTATGTAAACTGATGGACCAAAATGACCAACTCTTAGCTAAAATTCATAACGAGAACCAGCCAATAATTCATAGACCCACTAAATCACACTCGGAGTTATGTGTCAAGAAATTATTATCTGTATAATCCATAACAAGTCATGCATTTTAAAACCTTTTCACATGTGAGTTTTAGACAATACCAATTTTTGATGAACTTATGCATGTAACAAATCCAGAAACTTTATGGAATATATTTGTCACAATTTTTTGCAAAAATTTTGATTGGAACACATCCAGAAATTCTATGGAATATATCTGTTGCGAATTCACCCTCAAGAATGTAAATTCCATCAGTAGATGAAAAAGGTTAATCTCATATGGAATTCCGCATAGAACTAAAACAAGGCATTTTAAATTCCATTGAAGTTGATGGAATTTTATAATGAATTTTTTCTTTCAACATGGAATTTGATAATTGATCAATTTAATCTCCTTAAAGAGGATTTTCACAACTCC